GGCCGGCGCAGGGCCGCGCAGGTGGTGGCAGCGGGGGAGGAGGGCCAGCCAGTCTTGAGGTGGTTGCAGTGGGCCAAGGGCCCAGGCCAGGGCCGACGGGCCATGGTGGTGGTGGGGTGGAAGAGGGGGGTGGTGATGGGCGGCCACGCCGTGGGAGGTCCGAGGTCGGGGAGGCGGCCAGGCGCATGGGCGGCCAAGGCGGCAATGGCGTGGTGGTGAGCTGAAGGCAAGGTGAGCGGCGAGGGTGCGGAACCGAGTCTGCGCGTGGCCGGAGGGAAAAGATAAGGATTTTGGTCGACCCCGGTTTTTAGGTTTGGCCTTTGCCAAGGCCCCGGATCCAGGGGCCCCTCGGCAAAGATGTTTTATTTTTTAAAAAAAAATTCTTTGCCGAGTGCTGGGCCAGGGACACTCGGCAAAGATTTTTTTTAAAAAAAATCAAAAACGGTTAAAAAGCCTTTGTCGAGGGCCTAACGGTGATGCCCTCGGCAAAGATTGACGGCAGGGGATGGACGTCGTGTCAGGCGGTGTTGCCGAGGGCTTAGCCCTCGGCAAAGAATTATTGTTGCCATGTGCTTGTCTTTGTCGAGGGTCTGGTCCTCGGCAAAGAGTCTTTGCCAAGGGTTGTTCTTTGCCGAAAGACTCTTTGCCGAGTGTCCGAGCATTTTCCCTCGGCAAATTCTCAGGCCCTCGGCAAAGATGCTCTGTCCGGTAGTGCTGTAGCTTTCTGACCTTCTGAGAAGAATCTATTTAAAGAGCGGTTAGTGAGGAAGCACTATGAATATATAGATAACATTTTGATGCTCGTGTTACTAATTACCAATAACATACTCTACATTCTATTTCGTAAAGTATGAGGGAGACCGTAAGGCATGGTTTACTAAGAAACAAGATGTATGAATAATGTTAGCTGGAATTATACCTTTTGCTGTGGTATTTCTATTTCAATTGGCACACAGTACTGTCTTTGTAAGTAACTGAGAGCGGCTTGTATATTCTTCGCTTTTCTCAAAAGGCCAATTTGCCTCCACAGGTGGCTGATATCAACAACATTAGAGAAGGCCATTTTTAGAGAACAGATAAATTCATGCATGTTTGGTGGAAGAGGTGCAATGAATTTGGTGTGCAGCATTGTCATATCTGAGAAAGAAGAAAAAAAATGACATGTGAACATATCAAGAGGTTAACAAGCCATATAACTGTGCGAGTTGGTTATGTGTCAACCTACCATTCAAGCAATTGTACGATATGATTAGCTTCTGTGAAGATGATAGTAGATCAATAACTTCTCGAAATCCACGGAAATTAAAGTTTTGTTCATCTTCTAATTTCTGGATATCCATCTGCAAGTGAGTCGGAGAAAATGGACTTTAAATAAGTTGTGGTTTTTTATATCTTATTGTTTTTATACATTGTACATAATGCTGGCATTAAATTTATACTGTAGCAGCTGGAAAACACTGAGCAGCTGGGTTTTTTAAGAGAAAAACACTGCTCCGGCTGAAAAAAAAGGACAGCTAGCCAGCCAAATGTGGCCAGCCAAACACGCTCATCGAGTTAGTAAAGATTCTTATCCTCTTTCGAATTAGTAAAGATCACATGCACAGACCTAGCCGCTGGAGGGGCCGCTCACTGCGGACCGGCCGTGCGAGGGGCCGCCTGGTGGCTCGCCGGGCTTGCCGCTGGAGGGGCCGCCTGATGGGGCGCCGGGCTGGCCGCGCCGGACCTGCCCCGGCCACGCTCGCACTACCAGTCGGGCGGCGGCACCTCCTCCACGCGGGAGCTCACCGGTCGACGATGGGAGGGGGACCAGCCGACCCTGGTGGCAGAAGGGCCGGCGGTGGCCCCTGGTCGGAGGTCCTTGCGGCGGCGGCGGCGGCCATCTTCCCTACCCGAGCGGCGTCTTCGTTTCTTTCGAACCCGCTCGGTCCTGCTCAGGTGCGGCGGAACGGAACCAGAGGATACGAAGAAAGAAAGCATAAGGGCATTTCAGTCATTTCGCGTGTCAACTAATGGGAAACCTAACAGAGCACACTAACAGATATGACGGAAGGCCATATAAGAAAGATAATTTTGTTTCGAGGCCATACAGGTAAGTTAAAAAAAAAACGGACCATATAACTAAGAGGCATTTTTTTCTAGGGCCATACAACTAAAAAACTTGTTTAGAAATGATTTTCAAGGCGATTTTGTAAATAGTTGATATATTTTTTAACCACGAAAAAATGTCTATATGTTTATAAAATTTTTGAGAAAAATTAAAGATATATATTAGGATAAGCTAAACCAAAATAAAATATTTAGAACTTGTGGAAATATCCATAGAAGCTTTCAAAAAGTAGACTTGTCTCTACGAAAATGGAAAATATCTAGACAGATTCACCAAACATTATAATTGATGTCTAAATGTGTTCTAAAACTTTTCACAACAAAAATATGAGATGAAACCATGAAAAAAATACAACATACATTTAATTTTGAATATAGTCATTATGATTGCATCTCATTTTTTATTGTGAATTTTTTTTTGAAATGTGTTTAGACATTGATTAAAATGTTTTGGGAATTTTCTAGATTTTGTATATATTTTATATTTTCTAGAGTTAAATATAATTTTTGGAATGTTTTAGAGATACTTTTATGAGAACTAAATACCTTTTAGCATTAGGATTTTTCTCAGGGTTTTTAGAGTCTTAGAGACATTTTTGTGGTTTAAAAACTTGCCAAGTATTTACCAAAAAATTTAAACTAAAAAAAGATCAAATTGTCTTGAAAACCACTTCTAACCGAGACATAAAGATAATATCAACTGATTTGAGAGTTGAGGGAATAAGATGTCTAATTTTAGAGTTCAAGGAGGAAAATTGTACCACATAAATTGGAGTTTTTTCTCGCATAATTACCTAACTATGGGGTCGTGGTTGTTTACTGTTGATACACCCGAGTTATTTTGTTACAAAAATTAGGGTTGATTGCTGAGCATCTACTGCTACTACGAATCCTTACCGTTTGATTCAATCAAGTTGTTGAAAAATATCAGATTGTCAATGTTTGCCAGTGGCCTGTGTTGTCCACGAAACTCTGTCTTGGACCAACCTATACAGCCCATACAACGCTTGCATCCGTTCATCCATCGACATTCCAGCGTGATTTGACATGACATACTAGGCATTCCATCCTGCTCACCACAACAATCATGGAGCGTAGTGGTCAGCACTCCTTGCCAATTGCCATATGTTTTGCATGCCAACAAATTTTAAAAAGAATTCTGCATATTTGTTTGAGTATCCTATGATATTTGAATTTGCATGTTTGAGAAGGAAAACGAGTATGGGTATTTTTGAGAGACCACAGACCAGCCCTTGGAACCATGCCAGAACTTAAAGATAATTTGGAACAAAACTTGAATGCTATAAGTACTATATGGTATGTGATGGAGGGAGTAGACCACCCCTTGGAACCACGTCAGAACTTAAAGATAGTTTGTGGAGCCGCTCATCTGTTAGACCTCAAACTCTTTGTCGAGGCAGTGGATGATGGTTTGCCCCAGCCCAAATGTTGTAGCCTTGTATGCAGGGCCTCAAATGAGTGCATGGTGCGCCTAGCAAGGTGGTCTGAGTTTGGGCCTTGGATCAGAAATTGGATGGAAAGTCTTCAGAAAATCATACAGAGCTGAGCTCCAAAATTCATGCCTAACAGGCCCACTCATGTCTGAAATTGAATAAATAAAGTTGTTATGTCCGGCTCCCCTCAAAAAAAAAAGGATCATCGGCTGTTCTATCGCCGTCTCACGCATCCGCCATGATCAGACACCGACAACATACTCTATACAGTACATATCTAACCAAAAAGTGTCTAGCGTTGTCACCGGAGATGCTGCTGCCTGTCTCGGGGTCACGTGGCCGAGGCAGATCTCGCGTCGCCACGTGTCCACCACTGCCTATTGGCCATTGCAATGATCCAGCAAAACTTGAACCCCACATCAAGTGCATTGTACAGTAGCGAGCTGTTAGGCCACAGCTTGTGTGGTCTCATGATCCAAGCGACTAAGATAGTGCTCCCACTGTGACCGATGCTGCAGCAGCTCATGTGCTCGTTTCAGTCTTTTACAAGCGGCTGCTCGATGACGACAATGATGTTTTGGGCTGGTTTGGCTTATAAACCATGGCTGAAAGTATTGTTGGCTGGTTTTGTGTGAGAGAAAAATACTGTTCGTTGGCTGATAAGCCATGGCTTATAAACCAAATAAAACCAAGCGAACAGGCTGGTGATCTCAACTCTCAACAACCAGAGAATCACACACTTGTTTTCTGTAACACGTTTGCTTTGTGCTGAGTCTACTTGGTCTGGATGACTGGATGTTCCCTGCACTTTGAGTTTCATCTCGTCGTGGCTCTTCTTCAACAGGTCGTGGTTTCACTGCGCTGAACGCAGGCTTCAGATCTGAACGCAAGAACACCACTCCCGCTGAAACCCTACATTCTACGGCGGCGCTAATTGCCAGGAAAGCATCGATTCTGATCTCCGTGGGCGTTCAGTTAAACCAACGAACTCGGTGAATTTCACCAGGTCGCTGTCAGCCCGTCAAATTAAGTTTCCAGAGATCTGCCTGTCTGCACCGCACGGTCTGTCGGATATTGGTTGCTGCCTGATGACTAAGCATGCAGTAGCAAGTTCCATGATACTTCCTTCCTCGTCACCAGGCAGCTGACAGGGCACTTCATTAGGTGGCAACGCTGCTTAAATTATACTAATGTGCTGCTTTCTGTAGCTGGGCCTGGGGGAAACTACACCGGCAGGCGTCTGAAACTTCTCTCTGTTTGCACCCAAGAAACCAACCAGCCATATGATATGTATGTATCATTGCTCGCAGGGTTGTTATACTGTCAACCAAGCAAGTATAAATACCTCAACGAGCTTCGGTCTCGGCAACTCAGGAGCAACCCGTCTCTATCATCGGACCAAAGCCTTCATCCCCCTCTAACCTGTAACAAACAGAGAGCATGGATCACATACTGCATGTACAAGTAGAACACCAGAGCAGCGCGAAGCACTGCAACCGAGGCATTGCGAGGTTCACGAGGAGCGCCGACGCCTCACTTGTCACCTTAGCGCTTGCGGCCATCGCTTTCCTCGCCTTGTTCTTGTCGTCCTTCTCCATGGCCAGCTCGCAAAACTCATCCACTCTACCTGCTCGGCTCCTCGCTGCTGGCAGCATTTTCACCAGCAAGACGGCGCTGTTCGTGCTCTCCAACGTCATCTTCGTCCTCCTGGCCGCCAACTGCCGCTGCTGCTTCGCTGCCACCGCATCAGCAGGCGATGCCGCTTCTTCCGTCGAACCTGGTGGAGTCGTCCTGGAGAAACAAGCACGGCATCATCAGGTGCAGGTGCAGGTGGAGCAATGTACCGTGCTGTTAAGTGTCTCATGTTCAGAAAGTGTTGGCCACGATGAACAAGAAGGTGAAGAAGACATGTCAACAATGTCTGCCAACACGTTACCAGATGATGAGGAGCAGCTATCGAAGCTGGAGCTGGTCAGGCTTGGTGAAGAAGAAGACAGCAGCATCACCTTGGAGGAGACTGTTGATGTCGAGGAACCGACCTGCGAAACAGCTCAAGGGCTGGACAGGTTAGAGATCAGTGAGCTGAACAAGAAATTCGACGAATTCATAAGCAGCAGAAGGATTAAATGGGCAAAGGAGGAGGCTTACTTGCTCTTGTACGAGGTCTGAATTGTTGCAGATAGATGTCATGTAATTCACCCTGGCAACTAACGATTCAGTTCAACTGTGCACTTGGGCTCTCTGCCTTTTTGAAAAATAGAATAAAAACACTATCCAGATGTAACCCTACAATTACGTACCTCCCAGCAACTCTACAGCGCCGGTTTATTGTAATTTGTGGCGTCTACTGATTTTTTTTTTTGGACTAATGCAAATCAGAAGCACGCATTGCAAAGACCGGGTCAGCATAATTGACAAACTTCAAATTTAAACCCTATGCTATGCAAACATCAGCACTTTGCGATGCAACCACCACACCAGATTAGGCTGCAATATCACATCCGAGGAACAAAGAATTGTACTTCGCAGTGCAAGTGCAACCATCACAGCAGATCAGGCTGAGATATGCGCCTCCACTAACCACATAGATGACCCTCACTCAAAAAGTAGCAAATAAGTAGAATGCAAGGAACAAAGAACGGCAACCAATAGAATCCATTCAGAGAAGAACCAGGAGCTAATCGTCGCAGGCAACCACAGCAGTTTAAGTACCTCCATTGGTTAGATCAGAGGTGCAAAGCATCCTACATTCCCAAAACAGGGCAAGTTACTGAGCAAAGGCATCGGTTAACAACAGTTAACATGGTTACAGTCATTATAGCTAGTGGGCTCGAGCTTCTCAGCCCTCATCCTATACTATGCTTTGATGCTTTGACTTCATCTTGCCAGCATCTTTATTTCCAAATTAGTCCTCGTCTGCCTCCGCTAACTTGACCAGCTCATCAAGAATTATGGACTTCACAGTATCTTTCATTGAAGATACGTCCATCTTGTAGCGCTTATCTGTAACATTTTGTTTGCTAGAATTTAGAACATTAAGCATTGGCTAATTAATTCAAATCCTGATGCATCATATTAAGAGGCTTACCGAGCATCTTAAGAATGTCACTGAAGGTAACCTGGAAAATGAATCAACGAACCAGTTAGATCTATGTGGATCACACTCTATATAAGAAAGATAGTACAAGGTTATGGCAACAAGCAACAAAAGTGGAACTAGTAAGAGGAATATGTCAGCAAAAGCAATGTAAATCTACATTCCAAATGGTGATCTAAGAAGACAACCCAGAAAAGAGGGTAAATCAAAGTTCCAGTCTAACACAGGCTGAAAATACATTTTATACATGCAACTCAGAGTTAAGTCAACTCACAGTAGCTTATAATTCTCTTATGAACCAAGGTTGATTTCATTTATAATAGATGTAGTCCATTATACTATTATAGCTGAATACACATTGCTACTCTGCCTAAACACTGTAACTCACATTGTCAAAGTCGACCTTCTTAAGAAGTTGAACAATAGTTTTTTGCAGTTCATCCTTGCTGGGAAGAGCTTGTTCTGCTTCTGCTGATTTCCCTTTACTTGTTGACCCTTTGCCTAGACAGAGCAGTAGAGCACACCATTAGGGGGGTCATTCCACAATCTGAAACCTATGTTTTTTATATTATTCCAAACATGTTTTATGTATTTGAATGAATGACATGATACCAGCATAAAGTATTCACAAAACGCAATTTCCATGTTACACATGCCACGTAACAACAGGGAATGATATAGCAAAATATCCGTCCCACTTATGAATCTTCGAATGTCAAATCAACAAAGGATACAAACAGCACAAAAGATGAATGTCCAAAGTAACTGCAGGTTATAAATGTAAGAATAAAACCAGAAGGTAAATTTTAAACTATATTATAAAAAATCACTAGTCTCACCATCTTTCTGACAAAAAATATCAATTAATCTACTGTGTATTCTCACAGATACAGAAAAACATATAGCTCTTGATCATAATTCATCATAACACAACAATTAGAAAGTTCAGAATAGCAAGCAGAAATATTGCATCTATAAGCAATGTATCAAAGGAAAGCATGATTTATGGTATCATGGATATTACCATACAGTGGACTAATCAGTGAAGTGATAATTGTACCTGATGATCTTCTTTCATTGGTCTCTTTTTCAGAATTTGTTGTGTGCTTTGGTGTAATGGGTTTACTCTTTCTAGAGACAACGCTTAAATCCACAGCAGACCTCTGCTTATCCTTAGAACTTTTCGGCGATGATGAAACTCTGCTCGAACACTTGCTCAATGTAGCTATAGGAGCTGTATTTGGAGAAATCCCTGTGATCGCCTTCCTTTTAGTTTTAGCTGTAGATCCTTTTCCATCTACAGACTTCTTACCTGCCTTTACTTTTCGCCGGCCATATCTATCTTCCTGCTCACTATCAACTTCTTCACCATCATCTTTGTTTTCCTCACTATCAGACTTCATGTGATCATCCTCTTCATGCCCTTCTTCAGCATCTTCATCAGATTCTGACTCGGAATATTTTTGCCACCTTTTACGTGAAGTATGTTCATCATCAAGTTTCTGGTGTCACACAAAAAAGGGCAAATAAGAGCGAGTCACAAAAAGGGTGATAGCTATGGTAACAGATATCAGTGATCATTACAATTTGGAATTATCAAGTATCTGGCTGTACAGCAGCAATTGCACATGTGAAACTTCCATGCAATATGAAACAAAATAGAAATTAACAGAAGGTAAATATGTAAATCTTGTTTCAAGTTAATGGCAAAGAACTGTGATTAGATAGATTGTGTCAGACCAATACAAGATGTTACCTTCCTAGATCTCTTGTGTGTGACTTCTGGATTCTTAGTTGCACTGCCCACCTCTCGTTTGCGCTTCCTAGAATTTGATCCCTGCACAGTACAGAAGTGTAAAACATGGAGATAAGTAAAGGAAGAAACACTGAAGCAAACTTTCTGTTCATTGTTGTTGTAATCCATAAATAAATCTCAGAAAGTGCATACCCATTGTATGCCACAGATTTTACCTGATCATCAGAAAGTGTAGAATCATCCTTAGCGCGGGGCTCAGCAATGAAATCCAGCAGCTTCGCCACAATGTCATCCTGCATGGGTAACTCAGTTACAGAAAAAAACGAAATTGCATCATGCTGCACTCGGATTCAAGTTAAGTAAGCAAGATAAAAGATATTCATCAACCTTTCTACTATTTACCCTTGAAACTGGAATAACAAGCAGATTGCAGAGATCCAATAATGTTTCTATCGAACATTTGTCAAGCTTCTCCTTGGCCTTGGCTCTATGCTTTTCCTACAAGAAAGAGAGCCGCCAAAGTTAAAATAATAATCTCAGATAAATAGTGCAACTACCAATCTTTGAAATTTTGGGGAAAAAAACTATGATGCTTACATCACTCTCATGCCACAGAAATCCAGAGAACTCAAGTATATGGCTTTTGAAATCAACAGCCTGTAACAATTTGTCGGGATAAGTATATTTAAAAGAATCTTGGAATGAAGCTTTGGCATCAATGACAATTTGTGCAGAGTTCAACTGTGATAAAACAACAAACGAAAAACACAAGAATTCAACTTGAAGCAAGTAATCCCTCTGTATATAAATGTACACTGGTTTTTGGGAATCTAGTTTAGGTTCAGCTGGTTTTGGGGACTCTAGTTTCAGTTCAGCTGGTTCACATGCCTGGACCTTCTTTTTAACAAAATGTATACCAAGAGGCTACTAATTGCATCTAATTTATATCCCAGACTTCCAATTTTCAAAGGTAGCCTCAGAACTTGAAATTTTACAAGTGTTTCGGTCAAAAGCCAGAAGCAGTGAGCCAGTGACAAAACCAAACCCCAGAAAAAAGACTAATAAGGTGTATCTGCCAACATGTAAAGTAAAAAAAAAACACGTTTAATCACTTTGTTCATCCTGAAAGTACTCCCTTTATTAGCAACAATGTTATCAAATCGTCTAATCGATCCTAGTCACCATGGCACCGATCAGCCCGGCTAATGGTGACTAATTGTGATTAATCACGACTAATCATGACTAATCGTAGTGCATAGCTGATCATCATGTCACTGGTCAGCCTGACTAATCGTGAGTCGGACAACTTGATAACATTGATTAGCAAGACCAGTTTAGACAGGCTAGAACTTCTATTTGGTTTCATAACACCAAAGTTTAAAGCAGCTTAAACTAAGCTTATCAAAGGAAGTAAGATGCTAGTCTAAAACAGATTGTTACATAGGATTAAACCTATGGAAGCTTTAAGTTCAAGTGAAAGCCTACAAATAGGTATATCAACGTAGCAAAGTTCCAGATTTCCTGCAGATATTTTCATTATGTGCGCCTTGGTCCTAAAGCATGAACTATACAAGTTACTGAGAATGTCACTTAGGCCAGGTGAATTATGTATTCATGGTCCACCGACATGGAATCGTTCAATATAAGAACATATTCTTTCCAAAGATCTACCATGACTTCGTCAGAGATTTTACTATGTTTTTAACTGTCCCAGATGAAATAATTAACTGAAGTCTAGAAAAATCCCACAACAGAAATCTGCATTAGTCATTTTAAAAGCGCAACATTTATATTTTAAATTACCTTTCCCAACCTCCCAAAAAGGATTTGATGGAGAAGCTTAAGCTCGGAAGGTTGTTTATTTGATATTCTCTTCAAGAACTGCAAAATATTCAAATCTGAATCAGCAGAGTATATACTGATCAACACTTGTAGAAAGAATTGATGTTATGAAGTCATTGAACTGCAGAATCAGTACTGCAACATTGAGATAATGCAACACTGCAACATGCAAAAATTCTGCCAGGGCACTAACAATGTAGAAACTTCAATTCTGAGAAAGCGCAAGGTGCAGTTTCAAAACAGGAAACTGATATAGAGTCAATCGAAGTCAAAGATACAAAAATATAAGAGTCACACCACACCAGTCTCGAATACTTTGAAATCAGGATATCAATAACTTCTATATTAGTTTGGAAACAAGAAAGTCACAAGTGTAGATTTGTCTTCAAAGATACTTTCATAATCTCATCCTGGGTTTTACGCATATATTCTGAAAAGATGGTGGCTGTCAAAGGCATACTTAGAGATTGTGTTAGGACAGGAGGGAGTATAGGTTACCATGCCATGTGAACAAAATCGTTTGTTTCCTAATCAGATTAAAGCCATGAAGTTGTAATTGTTAAGAAAATAGCAGGCACCAAAAAATATAGAAGATGGAAACCCCTGGAGATACACATTTTAACAGGGCTACTGGTTTCGCCAAGAATCATATTACTTCATAACATACTATACCACAATATATAGTTAAAAAAAAGATAGCATTATGAGGTCATCTTAGGTTTAATGTACCAAAAACATATTTATATGCCTCAGGTGAGATTGTAAGGGTGCAAAATGCAGTGTTTACGAAACCAAAAATAGAAAGATATTGCGACAGAGTTCCGCACCGCCAGGTATATTCTTCAAAGGTGTGCCACGGCCCTGCATTGACATGTTTAAAAAGCATTATGAAAGGGCACAGTATGACAACGGAATCAAATAGGAAAAGATGTCTGTGAGGATATAACCTTCTCAACAATAAGCGGCTCCTTCTCAATCACTTCAACCAACCTCTCCACTGTTTTCCTGGCACGCACTTTTGGACGATCAAGAGAATAAGGACTTGGGGTATTCAGCAAGTTCTTGGCTTCCCAGACCTAGAACCATCTTGTTTCTTATCCTTTCCATGGTCCTTTTCTAAAACAATCCTTGCCTTCTTGCTCTTTGGTTCTCCATTCTTATTCTCTTCCACGTTCTTGTCTGACTCGCCACCTTGTTCCACTGTCGCCTCGCCATCCTTCTCTTTTTTATTAGACACGCTTCCATTTTCTGCCTCTTCTATGTCAGCATTTGCTCTTTTGGTCCCTTTATTTTGTCCCTCGTGTTTACATATATCATCTATTTGATTATCTTTCTTTCCCTCTTGTTTATCAGCAGTAGTGTTTCCCTTTGTTTCCATTTCCTCATCCTTCTCAGAAACTCCCCTTTCGATCACACCCACTTCATTCTTCTCAGAAGTTACGTTTTCGTTCACTTCCTCTTCCTCTTCCTCTTCCTCTTCCTCTTCCTCTTCCTCTTCCTTCTCAGCAGCCACATTTCCGTCCCATTTCTCTCCCTCTTGCTCCTCAGCAGCTCCCTCTTGTTCATTTTTTGCTGCCTCATCCTTGCCAGAAAGAACTCTTTCTACCTCTTCCAATCCGTCCTGCTTCTCCTTGGTATTTTGTTCTCTATCATCCACTTCTCGCTTGCCCACATTACCTTTTGCCTCCCCTTTCAATTCCTGCTGACTCTCCTCGACACTTTCTTCTCTATCACTCACTTCATGCTTATCAAAACCACTTTTTTCTTCCTCTTTCAACCCATCCTGCATTTCCACGCCAATCTGTTCTCTATTGTCCAGTTCTAGTTTATCTACTTCTGCTGGCGCCATCTTATCTTCGTCTTGTTTCTCCATGCATATGATTTGTTTCTCTTCAGTCTCGTTCCCACCTTCTTCCTTCTGTCCATTTTCTTTAACCTCTGCATGTACAGCCGCAGACTTTGATTCAGCCATCATAGTTTCCCCGCCTTCTGCTGCCTTGGCGCCGTGACTATCCTCAGTCTTTCTTTCCTTGTCTTCCTTCCGACATGCATCTTCCTTGTCGGCAATTTTCACATCATCAGCTTGAACATTGACAACATTTTCCTTTTCTTCATTATGCTCCTCCTTTGTTTCCTTCCTCTCATTTTCCTTTACCGCTGCATTTCCAGCATCACTCTTTGCTTCAACCGTCTTGATGTCCTCACATTCTGCTGGGTTGGCATCCTGACTATCATCATTTTTTCTCACCTTATCTTCTGTCTGACATGCATTTTCCCTGTCAACCATAATCACATTCTCGGCTTCAATATTGGCATCATTTTTCTTCTGTTCAGCCTTGAACTCCACTTCTCCATTTTTCCTACTTTCTATTACCTCTGCAATTTCAGCATCAGTCTTTCCTTCAACACTCCTCATGTCCTCACCATCTGCTGCCTTGCCATCTTGAATACCCTCGTTCTTTAAATTTTTATCTTCCTCTTCACATGTATATTCCTTGTCAGGCACTTTTAACTCCTCGGTTTCAATACTGGCATTATTTTTCTTCTCTTCAGTCTGGCCAGCTTTGTCTTCCTTCTTCTCATTTCCTTCTACCTCAGCATTTCCATCAGTCTTTGCTTCAACCATCTTGATTTCATCACCTTCTGATGCCCTGGCATCTTGCCTATCCTCATTATTTCCCTCCTTGACTTTCTTCTGGCATGCATCTTCGTTGCCAAAAGTTTTCACATCATCTTCAACATTGGCATTGTTTCCCTTCTCTTCCATCTTGTCCTCCATTTCTTCCTTCTTCCCATTTCCTTGAGCCCCTGCATTTCTAGCATCAACCTTTGCTTCGACCATGTTCATTTCGTCAGCTTCAGCTACCTTGGCATCCTGACTGTCCTCATTCATTCCCTCCTTATCTTCCTTTTGACACACATCTTCCTTCTCAGCCATTTCAATGCCATTGGCATGATTTGTCTTCTCTTCTGCATTGCCTTCCTTTTCTGGCTTCCTATTTTCTTGTGCCTCGGAATTCCTAGTATCAGCCTTTGCTTCAATCATCTTGGTGTCCTCACCTTCTGATGCCTTGGCATACTGATTATCGCCATTCAGTCCCTCCTTAACTTGACACGCATCTTCCCCAGCATCAATATTGGCTTCATGCTGTGTGTCAACCATTTTCACATCCTTAGCTTCAATGTTGGCTTCGTGTTGCGTATCAACCATTTTCACAACCTCAACGTCAATAACGGCTTCATGTTTTGTGTCAACCATTTTCACATCCTCAACTTCAATATTGGCTTCATGCTTTGTCTCGACCATTTTAACATCCACAACTTCAATATTTGCTCCATGCTGTGTCTCAACCATTTTAACATCCACAGCTTCAAAACTGACTTCATGCTGTGTCTCGACAATTCTAACATCCACAGCTTCAAGACTGGCTTCATGCTGTGTCTCGATCATTTTAACATCCACATCTTCAATATTGGCTTCACGCTGTGTCTCAACCATTTTAACATCCACAGCTTCAATTATGGCTTCATGCCATGTGTCAACCATTTTAACATCCACAGCGCCAACCACATTAGCAGAACCTGAATTGGCTTCGTTGGTATCATCGGTCTCCACAATATTTGCGCCCTCATCTGCCGCGCGCTCTGTGCCAATTTCACAGCCACTCTTCACTTCATAGGCATCATTGCTAGTCACCGCCACTTCCCTCCTCTCTTCAGAGCCATACTTCTCAGCATCATTCTTATCTGAAACAGCAGATTCTCCATTCGCCAATGGAGGTGGATCCTCTGCTGCTGTTGCTGGGTTTTCCCCGGACATCTTGATTGGTCACAATCCTCTATCTGCTCCAGGAAAATGCAGAAAAATGTCATCAAAAGTGTAAGCAATGGAAAACACACACACATTGTCAAATGTTAAAAGGGGAAAGAAAAAGCTTTACAGAAAACAACTGTGTATGGGTTACAACTCCAATACAAAAAGGTATATACTGTAAAACATAATAAGGAGTGTAAAACCATAAGAAAGGCCGTGCATTGTCTTGATTAACCGCAAAGAATGCTAAATGTTTCCAAAATCATCAAATGATTAACCAGACTCCCCGATAGGTAAGTATGAATGGCCAAAGTTTACAACTTGATTACTTTTTAATGCATGATACAGATCGGCTAAACCATTGAGCACGAACACCATCGTACGTGTAAGCATAATGAAATAATGAATGCATAAGCTTGTAAGTACTAGATCGGATCCGAACACAAACATCCAGATAGCTTCAAGCTAGGGTTCGGGTGCTCGGTTTCGCACAGTAGAAAGGGAAGAGAAGGGGTGCCGTGCCGATACCTGGTGGCTGCTCGTCGCCGGCAAAGTGCCGGGACCAGGGCACCTGCCGTAGGGCTGCGGCGGCGGTCCCCCGGTTGTCGGCGACGAGAGAGCGAGCGCGCGCTCCTCCCGCGAGGTGAACGGGGAACGAAACGGCAGGTGTGAGCAGTCGGGGTTTTCTGGGGGCTCGGGGGTTCTTTGCCTTGGCCAGGAGCCGGCATGGGCGTGTTTTCGTTCATGGTTGGTGCCGGCCAGGCACGTGAGACGTGACGCATCACGCACGTCCATCCCGTCCAAAATCAGACGCGAGCCAGGTTTATCTCAAAGCAAACAAGCCCGAAGGGGCTGTTTGGTTGCCCCGAGCAAATTTAAACAAGCACGCACAGGTATCACGTCTGATTAAAAAAAAACTCACACACGTCTGATTTTAGACACCTGGATCAGAATTGATGTGGCTGACAGAGAGCTTGTTTAGGAGGCCGTAAATCAAACAAGCACTCGGGCTTTTAGTTTGCGCCTTTGCGACCTGCCAAACCACTTCTCCCACGGAGAAATCTTAACAGTCAGACGACCAAAACTCGATGGCTTACGACATTTGCTTAGCAGGTAAAGCTGCATGGACGTGAAACCAAACACGCTTAAATGCTAACTAATCATTTGTTGTATTTCTTTGGTCTGTTCGCTTAAATTTATTAGCCGGCTTATCAACTAGAATCTATAATATTTTTTTCTCACAACAAAACAGCTTCAGAACAGATCCAAGGTCTAGACCTAATCCTAGGCCCCTCTCCCTAACCCTAACCCAAAAAAAAACAATCCCTGTCGAATCTAAATGTGACATCAGGATATATTTTTAGACCTATATAATAATTTTCAAGTTAGGTTTTTTGAGAAACATGTGGCTTTTTTTTTTGTTTCTACTAGCATAGCATCTCCACCGTTACCCCCAAGCCAAATGGACATGGATAAGCGCATGGGGCGTAGCGCGCAACCTCCAAGCCACGCGCGCATAACTCAGAGTTTCAGACACACGCCGCTGCCCCAGCCACACACACGCCCGGGACCCACTTCCGGCCTGCTATGCTAACGTCAGTCTGACGCAAAACAAAAAATCAAAATATTTTTTTTGATGGCTATAATTTTTGAACGACCTATCCGTTTTTAATTCCGTTTGCACCGGTACATTCTACGTGACGAGGCGAATAAAACTAGACTCCAGTTGCATATGTTTCAAAGAATGTTATTTTAATATCAATTTATGTGTAAAAATATGCTATGAGATTTATGAAATAAGTTGCTACCATGTAATACTAAACTTGCTACTCTAAAAATAAACTAAAGTTTTTACGTGGTATGCACATCAATTGTTACTATCAGAATATAATAAATTTATTATATAGTATTTGTATAAAGGTACTGACCCCTAAACAGAGTAGCGGACTAAAATAAGACAAACTGCAACATGATGGGACAAATTATTAAAATAAACATTGCATAAGCTGCTAATTAGGGAGACAAATTATATATTACTAGTTCAAAAACGTTCAGAGACCAGTTATTAAATTACTACTTGATTTGTGTAAATTGTTTGATTATTATTACTACTTGATTACGCCAATTATAGTAAAAAAGATCCGGTTTACTGAATTTTAGAGAAAAAATAATATTTAATTTTGATTATTTACATTTATGGTTAATTATAGGTGAATTACGGTTAGAACTGACGATCGGCAAGGATCACAGGCTTGTACCCATCCTTTTGCGGTTGCACGATCTCCTTTCTGTTTGCGGGCATTACGGTCATAGGCTACGGTCAGCGATAAACAAATCAGAAATCAGTTGCCTTTTACGGTTGTAAAGTAATAATAGTAGTAGACACCCCTCCATGCAACTACTAAATCTCCGGATGCAGGATTCCCGCAAAGCTCGTCACAAGCAAATGCTTGCGGGTTCGTGGCTGTCCGCCAACTAAATTATGTAGCTACCAAAAGTTTTGTGGGCTTTGCGGCAGCAAACGTTAGCCCGCGTATACCCGCACGCTGCATAACCACGCACGTGATAGCTAGCTTGGTTACCCCGTACTGGGCAGTCACTGACTATAGTTACCGACTTGCCGTAGCCTTCCTCCATTGTTCATGCCAGTCAATACCGAACAGGGATTGTTGCCGCAATTTTTTTTTAAAAAAAATGTTGCCACAAATTTTAAAAGAACTAGAACGAAACATGAGTATTGTTGCCGCTAATTGTTGCTCTGATTGCTAGAAGCTAATCTGCACATTCTACAGCTATAGGAAATGGCAGCCGTATGAATTATCAAATAGCTGTCCCATACAAGCATTTTCACAAACATCTGGAGAGTATGTATATCGACTGACTCAAGGTTGTAGTACTTACTGAACTAAAAAAAGGTGGAACTAATTGCCGGACCACAAAGCTGCAAGAACTACAAGCTGTATACATCCTCCAGAAGCTAGCGCCTGAATCTGCGTGGCGGCCATGTCGCCCCCAATCCTCCCTTGCCTCCTCTTCCTCAACCGTGGCCATGTCGCCGGCGCCTGGCATGGCTGCAAACACACTTTCCATCTGTGAGGACTTGGAGATAGAGCGTGTAGAGGAGACGGCGGGGGGAGGAGTGCGACACCAACGAGGCGACGATGGAGGTGGCTGCGGTAGGGGATGGGGTCGGGAGAAACAACGGAGTTCTTGTGGCCTTGCGGGTTCTTAGCGGGTTTATCGTGTTGTCCGTGGGCTCGGTGGGCATAAAGATGTTAGGCCACAGGAAATTTGCTGCTTAACCGCATTGTTCATGGACGTTGATTTTGCGGGGCGGGTTGATGGACGACGTTAACAACCCGCTCCGTCTGCATTCCTAACTAAATCTATAAACGTTCAGAGCCCTTGATTTGTGTAAATTACTTGATTTGTGTAAATTGCTGGATAATTACTACCTACTGGTATAATATCCGTGCTAACGTCATAGCTTTATCTTAGGGATCCACGTGAAAACAACCGATGATTTTTTTTTCATAGTTCAACTTTTACACAATTATATTTAAGCATGTTTACAATCCGAGAAACACTTTTGCATAAGAAGGCATAGTAAAGTTATTTCTCATATTAATATTAACCATCTAAGTTACATTCTGTCTAATCCTTAATCATGACTTGGAGATCTTTAGGGAAGCTGTCAAAACATTCGTTTGCACGGCTCTTCAAAATATCCGCCAAGAATTCCATCATCAGTGAAGTTGATAGCTGTACATGACAGATAATAAGCTAAATTATTAATTTTCTCGTCGTAACAGCTCCTAACACCTGTCATTCATAAAAAGTACCCATCAGTAAAACACGCAAAAGAGCAAGCAATGGCAGCGGCGGTCCTGGTGCTGCAGGTCGGGCATCCAGCAGGCGCCCGCCTCCACCATAAATCAAGTAGTGTAGTCCTAAAAATTATGGACCAGTCTAAAAATAGTTTTTCAGTAGTGTATAATGATTAGATTAGTATTAGCAATTGTTTATAGCTAAACTCTAAGACATGAAAGTCATCAGGGATCAGAAAACTCATATAACCATGAGAGATGGCAGCTGTGAAAAGACATCAGGAAATGAGCCCTCCAACTTATTGTGTGATAAATCCCTGAAAATATATCAGAATTCAGAAATACAAATTTATCTTCACCGACTAAAATTCACTGCAGAATTAACGTGACTGAAAACATGTAGTTACAAATACTTGAGTGCTTTGAGTTTGGCAAAGTAAAATGATACATCTCCGTTCAACCCGCTGAATGAAAGGTGTATGTGTAAACATCCAAAAGTTCAGATGTCATAATTCAGACGAAAGTGCTATTTATACTGAAAGCATACCTGTGATGTTGGTGATATCGCTTAGCGCATCGTGTATATCTCCCATGCGTAGACATTACGAAGTACCAATGAGGATCTTCAAATGACAAGAGCGGCAGGCAAAAGCAGGTTTCTCCAAGATAAGATAACTGGGTACAGATTTAAGTGAATATTTGGTTTGGCATGAACTAATTTGACATTATGTGTCAAATACAAATTTAATAGACTCGTAAATTGGCATACCTTGCATCAAAATTAAGCTTTAAATATATGTTATCTGTGTTTAGCTATAAGTTGTGCTAGTAATCGAATCAGAATAAGAGTACCGCATAAAGCACATGACTGGAACTTCAAAGTATGAAAGTCAAGGACGACCACATAGTAGGATCTTAAAAACATGCAAGGGAGGTATATCTTTTTCCTCTTTCCTTCTACTTATTTTTGTTTTATATAGACAGACCCCAAAAATGTAGGGTCACTTACAGGTAAGTTAAGAGAATTAGTTGATACCGCGACTAGGAGGCGTGTAAATATATTATGCGTTCAAGAGACTAAATGGAAGGATCAGAAGGCGAAGGAGGTGGACAATACAAGTTTCAAGCTTTGGTACACAGGGACAGTCGCGAATAGAAATGGAGTAGGAGTTTTGATTG